TAATAGTCAGTTAACCACTTAATTCGTAAATATCTCGCAAACCTGTTCATTCAAGTTATTGGATTTTGTTAAAGTTGTATGTTACGTTATCTTCTTGTTTTCAGAATGGCAGTGTGCGAAAAAAAGGCTATAAGAAGTTGCCCCAATAATAAGTTGTCAAAAGTAAAAATTCCGTTTATTTCTTGGTCTCCGAATCATTATTCAAATACCAAGGGGAAGATAGGTAGGAAAGATACTTCAAATGAAATATAGTCTCATTGTTTTGTTCGGAGAATCAACGGTTAACGTCTTCAAATTGTATTTTTCTCCTTTGTCTTCTCTTTTTTCGGATGCAAATAAAATGTTGAATTAGGCCGCACCGCAAAGCTTCCTTTGAGAACTAATTTATCCATATATGACTATTTTTTATTTAAAATTCCGAACATCTGAAAGAATTTGTAATTAAAGAAAAAATATGCAGCTTTTAAATGAACTTTTTTCTCCTAAATCAATAAATTGAGAAATAATTAATTAATGAACCTCGGGGGAACTTGGGGATAGAATTTTATCCGTTTTGTCTGCAGACTTCTGTTTTTAGACCTAGGGCAGCTATACAGTTAGAGTTTGGTTGAAAATAAATATGACATTAAAGTAGATACTGATACTGATTTAATCGATGAAGCAAACAGAAACACAATATGTGAGAATCAAACACATGAATTACCGGTAATTGTTTTGTGTGTGTGTGTGTGTGTGCGCGCGCGCGTGTGTGTTTAATTACCTCCTCTCATTAACGCATTAACTTTTATTGAAAAAAATCTTTTCTCTACCTTAGGCAACAAATCGGTGTCATTAGTTTTGTTTTTTTTGGGGGGGGGGGGGGGAGGGGGGGTAAAATTTATTCCAAAAGAAGTAAATTCTCCGGATTTTTTCTTATGTTGCGCACCTCGAAAGTAAACTGAACATCTTGTAAAGGTTCAATGACCCTCTGATATAAGAGGTAACTCTAACTGGGATGAATGAGTAATATTCCTTTATCAAATTAATTGTCATGTTAAAAGGCAATTTCTGTCAAATTTTGTTTCGCAAGGTATCCTGAAATTGTCTGCATTTAAATTATAATTAAGATTGATTTTGGAATATCGAGAGCGTTAAAGCAACAATTTATATGAGTATACACAGGGGGTTTATGAACCTTAAGAAATTTACTGACAAAACTTTCTGCTTGGATTTTGCCGTTGTCTAAATAAATCTCTTCAGCAACAGTTTTATTATTTATTTAAGAACAACGTATTTTGGAATTCCTCATTGACGAACACAGAAATATATTGATTTGTAAGTGCTTCAACACGGGTATCAAAGTAGGAATGCTGAAGACATTGACCTATTTATCAACAAATGGTGACTTGACCTTAATACACTCTTTGGGGCATACACGAAAGAAATTCAAAAAGCTAGCAAACAAATGCCAAGTTTTGAAGTGGAACTATTTAAACATACATTTTTCTCTTTATAACGTGTGTTCTCAGTAAGCATTTACAAACTCTCCTGATGGAATGCTTGAATAGATTTGTCTTTCAAAAAAAATCATTGGATATTAAATCCGATTTCTATTTTTTCAGCAAGGGGCTACCCAATGTCACGTGACTTTTGTAACTAAGGGCGTTATGATATAAAAACCACATCCCACGTATATATCAGATAAGTTCATTTATGTCTCGGACACTTTCTCGTCTGTGATATATTAAAAAAAACAAAATGGGGGAATGGTCTAACGGTTTCTGTGGATGCTTCAACAACTGTACCCTATGCCTCATCACTTATGTGGCCCCCTGTTACACGGCGGGTAAGAATGCTGAAGCCGTGGGGGACAGTTGTATGATGGTGGCCGTGATATACGCTATCTTCCCCGCCATTGGAGCTTACTTTGCCGCTAAGGCTCGTGAAAAGATCCGAGAACAGAAGGGGATCGAAGTAAGTACATGTAGTGGCTAGAACCGCCGTTCGAGGATCGGGAGACCTTTGGGGTGGGGGTATTTTTTTCTGTATTACATATATTCTTATGACATCGTGGCAAGAGTTGCTTCTGTATGCTTAATATTTGGAAGGGGGTAGTGCAAATATTCGTTCTGTGTATTTAAAATCTGGAGTTTATACTAGTTGCTTGCTTTAATACATTTTCCAAATATAAAACTACTTGAAGGATAGTCAGAATACTTGAAGGAGGAATTTGTACGTCATATTATCTTTATACAGTTAGCAGGTACAGGTCATCGTCTTTGATTTCAGTAGGGATTCGAATACTGTCCGTCTTGAAATTAGGGACTTACACTGGGAAGAATGATAGAAATTGGGCCAAGTAATCGCTGTGATGTATTTTGACCTGCATAAATTTTTTTTCTAGAGCAAATATTGATGATCTTCAATTATCAAGGTTTTCTAACTTAAATATAATTTCCTCATTTAATTCTTGTAAAATTTTATTAAATACCGTGAATGGTATACATTTACATTGTACCATATATACCTACTTCCAATTTGCAAAATTCGAAATGCTAATTAGCGCGTTCTGCATCCCTCTCTTCCTCCCCCTCCAAAAACGTAGATTTTAATCTGATTTTTTTATAAGCTTATTTACCAGGGGGTGATAATGCGTGTATTAATTTTAAGAAGACACGGCGCTTTAATAGATAATTGCTATATCACACATTATTTAATTTGCTAAATTTATAGGTTGCGTCCCTTGTGTTTTCATTTTTCAAATGTATGAAATGCGTTTTTTTTTCTTTTTAGTTTTTTGGTTTGTTTTATTTGTCTTTTTTTTTTTTATATATATGTGTATGTTTCTGTACGATTCAAGATCTTATCGTAATATCGTCTGGGTCATAAAAGAAAAGACAATGCAGTTTACTGCTAAGAACCCTCTCTAGACTTCACAGTAAAGAGTTCTGATTTCATGGTTTTTTTTCTGTAATTAGAGTGATCTGCCCTTAGATCTAAACTCCAATAAATTGAAATTTACAGTATATTACGCAATATGTAATCAGTTCAAGCATCCATAACATTCTAAATAGCCAAAATAAATTACTTGAACACTTTATTCGCATGTATTTTCTCCACGGAAGTAAACAATAGTGACTTCTGTTAATTGATACTTGATTGTCTTTGAACATTTTTCCTGGAGACAAATGCCAGGTACCATATATTGAAAATTAAATTGATGACCTCAATATTTACAACTTTATTCAATATGATTTTCCCAATGTCCCAAAAACATTTTGCACTGATGTATAGAGGGTCCTTAATTAATTTCTCTCTCTCTCTCTCTCAAGTATATACTCCGATCGTTCTTTTTATCTCCCATTATGAATGCATTCCATGATTTCAGTAAATTTTATCATTTTCTTTGTAATGTATTTGGTTCTTTAATGGGTGGTTAAAGGTAAACATTTAGAGATTTGCTTGCACTAACTTCACTCGCATATTAGTAATAATCAAGATGTTAAATGCAGTCAACTTCATGCTCTATGTACCGGATATTGATTCATTCGTAGCTTTAATATGAAACATCCTTTTAAATCAATCATAAATCCGCTTGTGTGACTTGTTGCTGCTCTAGTCTCTGTGCGTTATAGTTAACATGGTTTTATTTCGTTTTAATTTTTTATTTTGTCGCGATCAATTACCCTGGGTCTTTGCATGGTTTTTGAATTCATCCAAAAGTAGATGCTCTATCGAATTATTGAATGTATAATTAACCATTGAAAGAAGAACTCAAAATATCCAGGAGAGAAAAAAACCAAATAGATTATAAACCGAAATCAAGAAAATCTCTGCTATGGTTCTATTATCCATCAAGTACTATGAGAACCATTTTCATTACAACTTCAGATTTATGCAAGATGCTTACAAAGGAAATGCAGGATACGTCACGTGCTTAGTAACTAAGGATGCTGCACTATATATAAAAGTAGAATGTGCAAATCACACGGATGCACAGAAGTGACACTTTCTTGTCTGTGATATACATATCAAAATGGGGGAATGGTCTAATGGTCTCTGTGGGTGCTTCAACAACCTATCCCTCTGTCTAATTACGTATGTGGCCCCCTGTTACACGGCGGGTAAGAATGCCGAAGCTATGGGGGACAGTTGTATGATGGTGGGTGTCCTTTATGCACTCGTTGGTCCTGTAGGAGTTTACTTTGCCGCTAAAACCCGTGAAAAGATCCGAGAACAGAAAGGGATCGCAGTAAGTAGTGGCGTGTATCTTATTTTCTCATTGAGATCGCAGTAAGTAGTGGAACGGGTAGCTTTTTATTGCCCTGAAATGGAAAGTATATTTAGGGTAAGGGGCGGATCTAGAGTATTTTGCTGTCCTTATCTAATTTATCAATGTCACGTCGTCTGGAAGGGCTTTTATAAAACAGGGGGTATATGTAAGCATTTATAAATCTATTAGTTTATTTGTCTAAGATAAGGAATTGAAAGGTCTGGGTTGTACAGACGATTATGGTCTGTGAATTCCCAAGATAAGCTGCAAACAGAAACTTCCTGTATTCAAATCAACGTGGCTTGTTGTCTGTATAATACCAGTTTATCTCGTATTAGCTTCATCTCTTTGATATACAAATTTGCAACGAAAGTCCTTATATTACATGTGTGTATAATGTCTTTCCATATTACTACTTGGTTATGAAATCATTTACACGTACACACCATGCAAACAGTTTCCGCCTTTTTCTTGTATACGTGAGCTGCTTTGAAATATTTCGCATATAAATCTTCATTTTCCGAATATATTCCATTGAATCACAATTTGAAACAGGGGCGTGAATACTGTTGTAGTAACGATTCACAAACAAAAGGAAGCTTAAGCACAGTTTGTTTTTCCCCGATCTCTCAACCAATCATTGCTCTAGTAGTATATCCATCCGCGGCAAAAATCCATTCATTCAGGTCTGTTTGTTGTCGCCTTATCGGCGTACTCTCACTGTATCGTTCGGGTAGACAAGAGAGGCGTAGTCAGTCACATTCGGCATTCACATCAGATATAACCAACGAAAGAAAGGATGGGGGAATTCTCTAATGGTCTGTTCGGTTGCTTTAACAACTGCACTCTGTGTCTTATTACCTACTTTGTTCCATGTTACACGGCTGGGAAAAATGCGGAGGCGGTTGGAGATTCCTGTGTGATGGTTGGGGCGTTGTACGCTATTTTCCCCATCGTTGGTATCTATTTCGTTGCTAAGGCTCGCGAAAAAATCCGAGAGCAGAAAGGCATTGATGTAAGTTTTCATTAAATTTTTGTCAGCTGTTTGAAATCTATGTTGATAAAAAAAATCTTTCATTAATTTGCAAATATAGTAATACAGGTGAGGAAAAAAAATGTTGACATGCGCGTATTGTTTAACGAAAAAAAAAAGTTAAAGTATCCAGACCGTAAATTAAAAGATCGATGAAACTGCGTTTTTTTTTTCCTAATTGTTTTTTTTTCTCGAGAAAAAAAAGCCGCATTTTGAGTTATTCACCTGACATTTAGAAATTGGGAGAAATAAGATTTAAGATTATCACTTGCTTCTGGGTCAAGCTTAGGGGGTACCAGAAGGGTTAAACATATCTGATTTAAAGCAGCAGTAAAAAAAAAATGTCACAATTCATATATTTTTCCTAAAAATGTTAGGAAATTGTGCATTACTTGTAAATTGACTATTTGTCTATGGGGGAAGGGGGGGGGGGGATCGGATACCTGCTTATAGAAAAAAATTAATTTAGTGTCCCTCCATAAAATGTTAAATAACTCGCTATTGTGATCCGATCTCAAGGGTTTCATTGTCAAAGTCGAAACAGTGAATTTGTATAGCCGGCATCATTCATGAAAAGGGCGGATCAAGGAAGTAAATCGTAGCGACACATCCAATAATAAGTAATACTTCTTGTAAATCTATTATTACGTGTACAAACGTAAATTAAACAGAGCCTGCTAAGACCCTATATACATGTATGTGTTCTAGTTAATATATTAATGCCGGATTTCTGTAGTTAATCCTCTTTCGTTTACACAAAGCCCTTTTCTCTATAGAACTGTTGCCATTGTTCACCAGCTTGATCTGTCCAGAAGATTTGTATAAGTTAACCTTTCTATGTCAACATTGTTCGTGTTTTCACTTTAAACAAAATGAGGTCAATAGGCCTCGAGAATGTGTGACATTAAGTAAACCTTATTATGCATGGTCAGCTACGTAGTCTGATTTAAGAAAAACCCGTAATGTACAAATGTTCAAGTGTACTATAGATACTTTGTCTCCGAAGTGATATGGAAGAGCGTTTAGAGGAGGGACGCACTTTATATCTATTATATACATCCCTGAAAAAAGAAGGAAACATCCGTAAGATGCAAAAATTCCAACGAGGGGTATAGGATGGGATGTTTAATATATGTATTTATACACACCTTTAGAAATGAAAATAAAACCTTAATGCATGGAAAGAACAAGTAAACAATAATAAAACTTCCAGCATACGTGTAATTGAGCAAAAATTTGCATTTTTTTTTTCTTTTGATGAGGAAAAAAAAAATCAGCTTATTGAATCCCTCTGCTGGTCCCCGATATTCTATGTCGCTGTAATAAGGCTTTAAAATTTGTCAAGTGAGACAAGGGATATAAATTGACGCTTCAAGTTATGTATTTGTGACCTACTACACTGAAGTATTTCCGATGTGCTGTCTCTCTTTAATCTCTATTTTTTTTTATTATTAAAAAAAAATATAAGTTTGCACATGTTGTTAAAACGCTTTTTTAAATTTCCTATATATTTGTTTCAAAATCAGTTATGAATTTATGGTATACACTATATTGGTTTTGGGTTCTCTCTCTCTCTCTCTCTCTCTCTCTCTCTCTCTCTCTCTCTCGTTTTAACTTTTCTTCTAATTTTTCTGTAAACAACCCGGGGACTTCATCCTTTGTCAAATGGGAGCTTATGACAATGGCATGTGTCATGAACTTGCCTTAAGATCGGAATATAATGAAAATAGCCTGTGGTATGATCTTACATGAAGGTCATTTCAATATTTAAGGGAGCCGACTGGGGTTCTATTGTGTGAAAACTACTATAGAGAAACTCTTTAATTTCATTATTGAGTATTGCGCAATGAAAACCCCAGTCGGCCCCCTTAAGATTTGAGTTAGGTTCGTTTTTTGGTATAAGAGGTTCTCATGTACCTGCCACATATTAAGTAGCGTGTGACCAACGAGTCCCTACTCTGAATCAAGATCATATGAATAAGGTCAAGGGGAATTTTTGTTTGGTTTATGAATTGTTTAATCTTATAAATATTTGAATTTACGGCAACCATTGGACGGTTCTTTTGATTAATGACATTCCAGTCCGAACAAGGCAAATAATTCTGGTGTTGCAAATAATGCAAAAGTGTCGATTCTTCCGGATTTTTTTCATTGTTATCAGTGTAAAATGTTCCTCATAATCTACTTTTCTGTATAAGGCACAAGATTATTTTTTTTTAATTTTAAATCTCTTTCCGCTTCTTTTACTTTTCTTTTTTTTTTGGGGGGGGGGGGTTGGTTGGTTGAGGGGTTGGGGTCGGGGAGTTGTGTTGGAGTGATGGTGTTGCATCTACTTTAAGGTTTTGCAATATTTTTATTCTATACAGGGATTTTTTTTTGATGATACTTTGATATTGCATTTGTTTTACTCTTTGGCAAAGTATCCCTATTTTATATAGATGTCACTAAATTTAAAAAGGTATACACAGCATTCTTTTCTCTAAAAATCTAGTGTTTGGTTGAATGTACTGCAATAGAGTTTTACAATGGTTAGGTTTTCCTTATATGAAATCCTTAGTGGTGATTGCCTGACAAAGGACAAGATGGACTAAGACCCTTTTTTGGCCCCTGATTTGTGGTGTCTCCAGGAGCAATGCAATTGTTCATCATTACAAACCTGTTGTCATCCCTCGAACAAAATGAGTATTAATTCTAAGTTGTGGGATATACAAAGGTCACAGGAAAGTCACAAAAGGATCTTAAATTCGACGAAATTCCATCAGAATTGAGGATATTCGGCAAAATGTCCAACTTTGGCACCCTCTTGTGACCTCCCTGTGGATCAAAATTATTGCTGGTCTTAAAACAAGCATCATTTAAAGTTCTTAACTGCAAATTATGACAATTTTAACTGTGTTTTGATTTTTTACATCAAACAAGGGGCCAAATTCGGCCCTTAACATACCTTGTCCTTTGTTCTATTACAATAGTGTTTTACAATGTTTTTTTCTTTACTTACAGGAATCTTTGGGTAGTGATTGCCTGGCTTATTTGGTCTATTACAATAGTGTTTTACAATGTTTTTTCTTTACTTACAGGAATCTTTTGGTAGTGATTGCCTGGCTTATTTGGTCTATTACAATAGTGTTTTACAATGTTTTTTCTTTATTTACAGGGATCCTTCGGTGGTGATTGCCTGGTTCATTTATTCTGTCCACTCTGTGCTTTAATACAGGATGCTCAGGTAAGTTAAAAGGGGACGGATGTAATTACTTCCAGATCAGTCATACCTTTGCATATAAATTTAAACAAAACAAGTCGAATCTCAAATAGATAATTTGTAACCTTCAAACATTTTAACTCAAAATATTGATCAATTGTAAGTATGTCCTATATTTGATTTTGATAAACTATGTGTATATTTCGAAATTCGGATAATACGATCATGGCCATGGTGCGATATCAAAATTTTTAACCTATACGTAGCGAAAAACTTAGATACATACATATGTACTAAATTCATCTCAGTGTTGTTATCTTAAAACAATGTAAACATCACGATAATGATAAATTGAGACGAGAAAAAGATACATATTAATTTATAACACGTTCAGTGTACTGAAAAAATCAGTAGACCTTACTTAAAAGTTTAAATATGTATATGTCGTTAAAATTAAAATAAATTGTTATTCAGCTACTTTTTAGATTAACTTTTTAGTTCATGAAAATTTTCGTCAATGGATTCTGGAAGTAGATATGGTATATACTTTAGCTTAGGACAGACACGTCATAACATATTTATACATCATTGAGCTTGTTATGTAATTTAGAATTGAGGAAACACATACCCCAAGTTAATTGATAGATTAAAAAAAACAGTAACATATTATATATAGATACTTCTAAAATGTAATGATATTCATGAAGTAACAAATTACATGTATTACATCTACACAATTAAGTTATCTTCCAGTTTTACGTCTAACTTTGAAAATTCATAAGTAAAAATATGAGACCATGCTGAAAAGCTGGAGATTTGTATAAATGTATATAATTATACTTATGCGGGGGCCATGAAAGATTGATAGATTCTAGGAGGAGGTTGGGAATGATAGAATATGTGGTACATTTTCGTATATCTAATCTTCTGAAAAAAGCAAATTTAAAAAAAAAGTAGTTTTAACCTTTTATAAGAACGTATACGTACATGTAGTGCATATTTTGGAGATATCTTGTTAAGCTTTATTTCGTCATTTGAGTTGAGGCTTTTGTTGGGTTTTTATTTTTTTGTCCTTCTCTTTTGTGTTGACATGCTAGTAGATCCTCAAGGAAGAAATAAAGATTTCAGAGCAAAAAGCCAGTTAAACCTCAGTGACTACCAAAGCTTCAAAAATAAAATATGACACATTGTTAATAAACTCAATACATTGTCATTCAACTTGTATTCGCAGTGGTACATTATGTTTGACGCGGAGGGGAGGCTCTACAGAAATCTTTGTCTTTTAAAAAAAAAAAAAAAAGTTTCTGATGGTTGAGTCTTGCGTCCTCACTTCCCTCCACAGTTTTCTATGGCAGGGATAAAGATACAGGCATGATTTATACGGTTAATTGTCGAGAAAAGTGTCGTTTTTCTAGGTCAAACGGACAGATCTATTTAGGAAAAAAAAATCGGATTAATTTGCAGGAAAGATAGGCACTTATATACAACATTAAACACGTGAAAGCAAACAAAGTACTGATCCGTTTATTTAGATGGCGCAATGTTATCACTAGTTATATATGGTACAAAGTTTGCTCTGAGAACCAAACGCAATAGTGATCGATATTGATTTCAAAGCAGCGGTCTTCGACCAATCGAGTGGAATTTATGACGTGTTAGTTCTTATTACAAGATTTGTTGTAGCGACGTATAAACAAACGGCTATCTCACCATGGCTGTAGTCAAAATAGATGACAAACATTGCATGAAATGAAATAAGACTCAAGTGTTGCTTTGTTTAAAAATTCTGAAGAAGATAATCGGAGGAAAAACCAAAGTAGTATTTCAAAATGATTGGGTGCATGAAAAGCACCAGAAATAGGGTTAGGCTAAAGAACAAAGGCTGTTATCACACAGTGTCTGAAAAATCTATATAACTGAGAGAGAGAAAAAATGGTTCAGAAATCGATTTTGGAACAATGTACTTTTCCTACAATTCTTTGTCAGCATGTGTGATGGTGTTTGTATGATCTTGAACTGTGTAGCGAGTCATTTGAAATGCTTGGCAAAGCCAGACAAATATCTTTGGATCAGAGATCACAGGGAAGGAATGAAATTTCAGGACTCATTAATTTTTTTTCAAATTTCGATCAGTTTCCTCGTTTAATTCACACCCGTCTCTTTGACCAAATAATGCTTTTTGCACCTTTTTATTTATTGTGCCCTTTTTTGGCTATGGGCTATGCAGCCAATCGTTACGAATGAGTGGCTCACGTGATGAAGCGAAACAGTCGTTGAATCTTAATGAATTGTGTGGGCGTTTCATATCCATAGTAACGTGTCTCCTCAACTGTAAAAAAACCCGCATTGAATAAATATGACCCATTAAGGCCTCCATTCTTGAGTGAAATGAAGAACCCTTGGCTATAAAAATAATGAATCTCTCGTTTCAGTCTAAAACCTGTTTTTTATGTATAATACCGGCAGGTAGTTGAGGATATCGTATTATTTACGTACAATCTCTCAGGTAAAACTGGATTGGTCAAGCATCTACACTATTAGTTAGATGAATGGGGATGCACACAATAAAAAGAAGTAATTATAATTTTAAGTCTTTTTAAATCTATAGACATATACACTAACAAAATTGAACCGGTCTTGATTTTGCAATAGTATCTTTAAAAAAAAAAATAGTCGTTTAAATATTGATTTGAAATAATCAGGCACATTAATTAAGAAGTCGTCTTCTCTTATTTCCCTGGTATCAGATTTAGATGCATTTTATTTCCATCTTATTAAATAGACAAATGTTTGATTATCTTGAAGAATGTTTTAATTAAAGAATGTTTAATTAAGTAAAGGTTAACAAATCTAAACATCTATTGGTTAATTTTGCATGCCTTTATGTACGTGTAACTTCCTTTGTGTGGAACAGCACTTGACATGTCTGATCCAAAAATCTCAATGCAATATTTATCACAAATTGATAATAAGTAAATAATGAAATAAATATTAGGGCAGTCTTACGCAATTTTGTATTGTATATTTCATGTCTTTATGAATTGAAAGCAATCACTTAATTTGTTGATTTGTTTTATTCACAGGAAATCCAACCCCAGGCACAGGCGCAGTCTATGGCTAGGGAATAGGAACTCTTCTGTGTTTAAGGTGAACGGTGTCGCTTAATATCAGACTTCTGTGTGATAATTCCACGAGGCATGCGTGCCTTACACTGGATCCGAAACTCCTTTACTTGACATAATTATGATGAAGTTTTTTTTTTAAAAATCATATTAAAAGTTATTTTTCTCTGTTCAAGCGGTATTCTGACTATATTTAAGGACGCCTTGACTATTTTACAACCCGTCACCACACGCTCAAAATACATCATCTGTTTTTATTTTATGAATTTCTATAAGTTACCTGTATATATATTGTATTTTTATATGATTATGCTGAATATATTTGGAATAATTCTGATAAAATACAATTTTGAATGTATTTTTGTGTGTTTGTGTCTTGGTGATAAACGTGAAACACGGGCAATTTACTGACCTATTTCTGCCACAATAAATCACAAAACACGGTTATAAGAAGCTGAAATCTAAATCTGTGCAATTGTTTATTAAAGTAAAGTAAAATCAATGTAATTGTTGCACTATAGACGGTAAGCCCAGTTCATGAATTCTTTGATAAATATTGTCGGCAACGACAATGTGGCAAATTTAAACTTGGATGCAAAAGAATACAAAGGAACAAAAGATAACCACCCAAACAGTGTTTTTTTATTCAACGTTTCCGATTTTAAATCTAAGTATTTTCTGGGGGCTGAACCTAGAAATAGTGCAGAATATGACTGTTTGCAAATCAGGGGCCCGTTTTACAAAAGAACTTACGACTAAGTCCAAAAACTTCAGATTCTTGTAAAATTTTGCAAAAATTAATGATTCTGTTTGATATTGCTAGCATAAAAATATTTTGTTAAATTCTTTTTGAAAAGATTAAAACTATTTTCAAATCAATGTAAAATAGAGAGTAATGAGCAGGCATAAATTTTAGTCATAGTTGAAAGTTCTTTTGTACAAATCCACACTGCATCATCAATAGTTCTTGTCGAAACCAGTCAGAACCTGTTTATTCATTAAGGGCACTTGCTACAAACTTTTTTTCTTCGAAAATGATGAAAATAGATACTTAATAATCTATTCAATTTCTCAATATTTTAGGAATTTGAATTGTGCATCTTTTACAACCAAAATAAGTTTTTAAATAATAACCAACAAAAAATACATTTAATCATTTGTTTGTAGCAAATGTCTTTATAAAAAGACATACGTATATCAGCTCTGGTCTTTGGGTAGAGATGGGAGACCACATCTGTACGATGGCCGATATGAGCCGTCAAATTACAAGTAAGAGTAACTCTATTATGTACGTAGAATTAATTGACTTTAGCAGTAATACCTGTATCATTTTGAACATGTACATCTTTGTCAATGGCAAAACGCTTGTACTTGTAATATGAATTTGTACATGTACAAATCTTAAGACAAAATACATTTGAAACTACTTAACATTCCTCAGATTTATTGGGGAGATTATCTGTAAACTTAGAAAGGGTTTAAAACAAAAACACGTGTGGGTTTTTTTTTTTGGGGGGGGGGGGGGATGTTAAATAAATGCTTATTTTTAAAAAGAACAAGACTGTTTGTACTTTCACAAACGTCGTATGAGATCACGACTCTCGGATTTTTCCATCAAAGAATATTTTGTAAGTGTCTTTATTCAGATTCCTGGTGTTTTTGTTTGATTTAAACCTCTTTCACGGCAACGCAATATAGAAATTCATTCTTAGGCCTCAAATACTATAGTTAAAAATTCCAGAGAAAATGAAGCTGCATCTTTAAGTAAGAAGTTTATTCATTTTCTCATTCTATTCTTTTCCTTGTTCCAATGAAAAAAAATAAAGGAGAAAAAATATTAATGGAACTAGGGAAAGAGTATAATGAAAAATAAAGTTCTTACTTACGCAGATCATCGAGCGACAATCTTTCATCTGAAGGGAAGGGAAATGCTAGAGATGCAGCTTCATTGTCTCTGGAATCTTTAACCAGTATTTTGGGACCTACGAATTTTAATATTGCGTTGTCGATAAGGAAATTAAAATCAACCCAACCCACGAGGAATCTGAATAAAGACACTCACAAAATATTCTTTGATGGAAAAATTTGAATGTTGAGGTCTCAGACGAAGTATGTGAAAGTAAAAATAATCTCGCTGCGTTTTATGATTATTAAAAATTATGAATACAGCATTTATTTAACAACAACAAAAAAGGGGGGAGAAAAGAGAAGAAAACCAGACACACGTGTTTGGTTTTAGTCCCTGTCTTAGTTTACAGATAATCTCCCCAATAAATCTGAGGAATGTTAAGTAGTTTCAAATGTATTTTGTCTTAAGATTTGTACATGTACAAATATATACTACAACTACAAGCGTTTTGTCATTGACAAAGATGTACATGTACAAAATGATACAGGTATTACTGCTAAAGTCAATTAATTCCGCGTACATAATAGAATAACTCTTACTTGTAATTTGACGGCTCATATCGGCCATCGTATATCTGGCCCCAAGACCATATATATATAAACTGAGAACAGACTTAAGTCAAAATTTGGAATCAGTATAACTTTTGAAATAATTTTCATAACGAAACAAAATTTTCATCATATGTTTAAATTAGAATATTATACAAACCTGCAAATTTTTATGTACATATGTTAAATTAAACTCAAGATATTCAAAATCAAAATTTTGACTTGAGTCTGTTCTCAGTTTATGGTCTCAAGGCCTGAATATCAAGAAATTATTTATCAGATGTCCTGAAATCACAAATAAAAATAACTGAGCTATATTATGCATTTTTGTAACATATTCTTTTTTTTTTTTACATATAATTATAAAGATCAAGCATATTTCTAGTTCAATCAACTAGTATAAGGAATTCAAAATAGAAAGTCTATGATATACATTTACATGTACCAGTACATGTACTAGTACTTGTTTTATAGAAGTATTTTATCACGGAATTTTGATTTACTATGTAGAAATTTACAAAACAATAATTGTACATTTATCTCCACTTCCTAAATTCAAAATTTACAATTCATTTCTAAATTGAGAATGAATAGTCCATGCACTAAATAGAGGAAACTTTCATTAATAGATAATGTATGCGACTTTATGTATTTGAAAAAAAAGAAGACATTTCGTATACTTTGATAGCAAACTTCAAATGAGATGTAACAAATTCTTCTTGCATGTGTCTCCTAGTTGATGTGATAGAGGAGTCATTGCAGTAAAAATGTCCTTTATTAGCCTTGTATTCAGGATGTTGACGCACAAGTAGACTTGGGCAAAGGTTGATGACAGTGGGTGTCGAATTCCGACAAATTTTTGCAGACTTTTGCTATTGTGAAATATCCTATAATGTAACAATTCAAGCTCATTGAACTAATATGAAAGTTTTCATTAAATTTGCTATATACATTATATAAAAATCGTAAAATCAACATAGGTACCATCCGTAAAAAAAAATCATAACACCTTGAAGTTTTACGATGTCACTTGATAGTGTATCTGTAGTGCTTTGTAGCAACCGCTAAATGATATAAATGTTATTAAGTGTTGCAATTGCAACTCTTAATGCCATAAATTGCTGCATTAATAGTTGACTCATGCTAAATCGCCGCTTAATGAAAGACTTATATTGAGCGGTTGAGAATGTCAACTATACAATAATTAATGACATTAAATATTGCATTGCAACGCTTAATGATATTTTTATCATTAAGCAGCGTTTTATCTTAAGCGGTTGCTACAGTGCTTCAGTTGCTGAAAATATTAAGTGATATTTTTTACTCTTACAAATTTAATAGCACTGTATATTATTTGCAACTCCAGGATAATGCATAAATTTTATTTCAATGATGAGTATTTATTATAAATATATTTATATCCATTCACTTAAACACATTAATATATTCTGAGCCTTTTTTTTCAATCTTTATACATGTATTTCATAAAATCTAAATCGAAAAATTAAGTACATTTTTAAAAGGTTTTTAAACATGCTGATACATGTATGTAAAGACATGTTCATTTAAAAGATCAATAAATCAATTTAATAAAAAAAAAAATCCTGTGAAAAGAATTATTTAGTTAACTTTTTCTGATTCCAAGAAGAGACAGTTAACACGAAATAGCGAAAAACTGGCTCAAAAAGACTTCAACACTAAGGGAGTGGGCAATTTCTTTAGACTGTCATTTTACACACAATACCCACTTGTAAATGTTACCATGTTACAAACGTAGTTCAAAGTGACATAGATACAACACAGGAAGACCTGGATCCGAATGACGTGTATATACATCCGGATCCGCTATATATCTGGATCTCCTAGAAATCCGGATCCGCCTCAAAAATAATCACTACCTTTCTCCAAGGCACAATTAAAACACCTCTTTTTTTTTCTTTTTTTTTTTTTAAATTTGAAATATAATAATATTTTAGGTGAACAGAAAAATAAATAGGCAAATAATATGAATGAAAGCTGATTTCCAAATGGTTAAACCTTTTACAGTTTGTTCACAAAGGTTAAATTTTTCATGATGAAATTAATTACAGTTTACAGTGGAATTTCATATAGTTATGTTTATCTTTGAGTTGTGCAGAATTATTGCAGTAAAATATACAGAAGTTTAAAAAAAATTACCGAAAGAAATAAATTAACCAATTTAAAAAAAAAAAAGAGAATTCCTAGAGAAGGAGGTGGAAAAAAGAGGGCTTTTTTATCTGCACTTATAACTTTTAGACTATTCAGATAATTTGGGCCATTTTTCATTCAAGTGCTATTTGCACAACCTTCCCAAATAACTTTGTGGTTTTTCCAAATTCCTTTGCATATGTAGGTGTAGATAATGTCACCAGTATCGATTGTTGCAAACAACATGTTAAGATAAATTTCTTGAAAAATGCTATCAAGTTTAAAGAAGGCTATATAAGTGAAGTTTTAAATTTAAAATTTAGCTTATGTGTCAAATTCCCTACATCTGATATAAATTACAGGCCAAATATATATACATTACACCACTAAATAATTCAACAGTTAGATACATGTATTACACTAACGCATTTATCAGGAACTTTTATTAAACTGAAATAATTTTTTCTTTGGTGTTTTTGTTGAATAATGATAAAGTAGATATTAGTAACAGGAACAAATTGTTTTGTGTGGATTTGTTGATATACCATGCAATCCCCTCCCCCTCCCCCTCCAAAAAAAAAACAAAAAAAAACAAAAAAAAAAAACAACGTAGACAATTCAGTGTGAAAATAATGGTTAACAATTTGTATGAAAAACGTCAGTTAACATTCCATTGAACTACAGATTGTATTTGCTGCCAAGGTCATGGTATCGACCAAATAATAAATCTGA